TCAAAGGGAAGAATTATGTATGCAGCAACAAAGATCTCATGGGAAGGGACGCAGTCCGGCTCTCGACTGGATCAATGTTGATGCCAACTCCACCCTAGAGAGCAGTTTTGTCTCCATCTGTAGGAGAGTTTGCTTATACAAGTGATCTTGTATAAGCAACCCCCACTACCTTATGCCGCCATCGATGACACGACCTCTACTCCAGCGGGCAATGGGTGGCGTACGGGGATGGCAGGCGCTTGAGGGCACCTCGATCATCTTTTTCTAGAGGCCCTGTGTTTTGTAAGCTCCATCAAATTAGTTTATGGGGTGTTTGCTTTATACAAGTGATAAATGTTTGTAGGCTAAGCAGTATTAAATATAAATTAATTATGCCGCCATACATAGACACGAGACTAATTTTCGAGATTTAATTTTTAAGCATAATTAATCTATGGGTGGCGCAGCACACGTTGGGAAATCATGGGCGCTTGAGGGCACCTCGATCATCAATTTTCTAGAGGCCCTATATTTTTTTTACGTACCAAACAAACACATAAATTTTAGGATCAAACCAAACGGTTTATGCTTACCATACTTGTCCTCAATTATTTATGCATTTTTTTTATTGAAGCGCTTCTCTCGAAAGATGTACCAAATACAGGCCCTAAATCTCGTTGCCCAATGGCAGAGTGGCTTTTGCTGTATTAAAATTTCAAAGCCTTGTATATATGGTGACGACGTTTGCGGGCGTCCTTTTTCCCTAGCTACTATTCATGTCGATTCTCAAGCTTTGGCGACCGTAAATGATCAAAGGAAGAAGACAACCTCTTTATTTTAGTATACTCTTATTTTTTTTAGAAATTATTTTGTGTCAAGTTGTATACTCTTGTTTTTTCAAGGAATTATTTTGTGTCAAGTTGTATACTTTTATAAACAACTTTTATATTGGCTACTGCTTTTCTTCTAATTATCAGGTAGGACTTAGGAGGCACTCATTTGATCGTAAAAATAACTGCCGGCTACTTACAATATGTAGTCCTTGTATGTTTAGCGCAGGAACGGATATGACAAAACTGTCAGGTCTGCAAATCCATTCGCTACAAGACATAGATAGACATCCGCAAGATCATAGTATATTATCATAATAAGCACGTAGTAGCAAAATTTATATGCTCCCTTTAATCCCTTTTGTCCCTGAGACATTGAATAGTGCTTACTAAAAGCAAAAAGCCCGAGCACTTGATTTCACTATATACTCGTCTTTTTTTTTCTTCTGAAACAGGAGCACTACTGTATTGCAGATAATGCCGTGGCGAGTGTCATGTCACCTCATCACCTGTGAACTATTGCTGCAACCAGTATACTACTTAATACATATAAGCATCGTGGAGAACCATATATAATTGCATGCAATTATTACATACACCTGAGGATATGCTATAAGCTGTTTTTTTTTTTAATTCCGTTTGCCTTTTTTCACCAAACAATTCACTGGTATTCGGGTGTGCGCGCGGCTTTGCAGGCTTGCAGTGCTCCAGCGCGCGGCAGCAGCAGCAGGATGTTTTTTTTTTGGGTACTGGATGTTTTTGGCCAGCCAAGACGTACGTAGTAGTGCAAAAGTCGTGCTGCTTTAGCATATGTACAGCGTCGGTCAGAAACAGAAAGCATACATACATACATATCCTCTCCTGACCTGATAAACACTGCTGTTTGTTGTTGCTGTGCGGGCGGCGATTCATGAGCTCCCTCCACCGTCTTTTTCCAACGGATCGGAAGCTAGGCAAAGGGCGAAAGGCCAAGGCAGGAAAGCGACGGCAACGTTGGACTCGGCTGCTGCCGCCTGCCTGCTAGAGTGCTAGTGCTGGCTACTCAATCCTACTAATGCAGTGCAGTGCTCCATGACCATGAGTAGGACACCACACCACCAGATGACATGAAGATGCAGCTAAGCTGAGATGGGAGGCTGCCGCTTTTCCGGGTACGGACTTGCAGAAATAAAACGCAGGCAGCGCCGCTTTCCGGTTACGGATGGTGCCGGCTCCGCAACAACTAGGATGCTATGCAGGGCAGGCGGCCCATTCATGCGTGCCTTTGTGTGTGTTTGTAGTGCTGCTGGTCGTTAGGTGAGAAAATAGCGTCCTTTTTCTCAGGCTCGATCGGCGTATGGAAGATCTCCGGATCGGATATCCATTGCGTCCATCTGTGTGTGTCAGCATGTGCTTTTGCTTTGGAGCAGCCTTGGGGAGGAACGGGCCGGGGATAACCGGACGCTGCTGCTTGGAGAGTGGAGACGTACATGATTCATGAGGATCAGGTCAGGTGTCAGCTAGCTCTGCGTCCTTTGCATCTCAGGCCTCGTTTAGTTGCCGGTAAAGTTGGTAAAATATACTGTAGCGTCACTGTAGCATTTCGTTTGTATTTGGTAATAATTGTCCAACCGTTGACTAATTAGGCTCAAAATATTCGTCTCGCAGAGTACAACCAAACTGTACAATTAGTTTTTAATTTCGTCTACTTTTGTTATTCCATACTTATATTATAAGTTTAATGTGATGAAGAATCTTCTTTTTATATAGTGTCTAGGAGGAGTGTAGAGGAACTAAACGAGGCCTCGTCTTCTCCATGTGCCCCAAGCCCCCTGTCGGAGCACAAGGCTCCTGCACCTGCTGAAAAGGGACAGGCAGAGCAGAATAGCAGATACCTACTACGTAGCAATGGCGCAGAGCCTGGTGCGGTACAGTCAAAGTGCCCTCCGCCCTCCGCCCCTCTCTGACGACTCACGGCGCTGTGCACGGCACAATTTACAGCTTCGCACAGTCGCTGGCCCGTGAACATATTTATTATTATTGCTACAGCTTTGCTCTGATGCTCTCAAGAGTCGTCTCGAGGGCACGCAAAGCCTTTCTTCATGATGCATGCTAATACGCCTGCTTTCGATCTGGTCGTCCGAATCATATACCACGTGACTACTACAAGTTATGACAAAAAGCATCCGTTTTCTTGTTGCCAATTTCAAACCACGGGCTCTTCTCTCTCTCAGTCTCTCTGCACATGCAAGCGAAATGGATCCCAGTTTCGAAAGTTAGCGCTGTATTGTACTGCATTTTGTCCGCTGACTTCATTGTACCGCGGCAGTCCGGTCGCCAAAAGGAATAAAAAACAAAGAGCAAAATGTTGTCGCGTTAATCAACCAAATCAAATAAACATAAGTCTTTTAACCATCTTCAACTTATGGATTTTCCTCTCTCACCTATAAAATCGGTTTTCAAACCCTTGACCCTCTCAACTTTTAAAACCGTTTTGTTCGCTCTAAATGGTTTTCATGGTAATTTTACTGACGAGGCTACCATATCATCGGTCCTACGTGACGGCATGTCAACCAGAAGAGTAAATCAGACTAAAGTTGAAAGTTCAGGAGGTAATCGGACTAGACTTTTTTTTTTCAAAATAATATTTTAAAATCATTAAAAATTCGAAATTTTATTCAAATATTTTTACATGGAAAATAATGCAATTAAAAATCCTAAAATCTAGCTTTGAAATTCAGTTTTTTTTTCTAAAATCATGTTCTATCTTATGATGCCTATCTTGTAATTGTTTAGATCTTGATGGACTCATTTTGGCACTTAGTATTATTTGCTATTAAAAGCTCTTATTATCTATTATAATTAGGCAATGTTGATCTTCCGAACTACGTAGAATCACTGGTGGAGCGTTGTTAGACTGTAGTGGGCGGTGGTCCTCTATCCTGGATAAATTTTAAAATAGTTGTGTTAGCCTGCGTGGATGCGTGCATCCTACCGCACATATGCATGCATGCACCCTTCTATTTTATTAAGTATTACAAATCATTGAATTTAATTAAATTTTAATACAACGAATTATGGAGCATAGTGCGGCAGGAAAATCTAAATGGCAGCACACGAATCATGATGTTTTTGTACAGATAGGATCAAGCGACACAGACATGATTGAGTGATGCTTATATTCATACTAAATTGTATCAAATAGGATATGGTTACATGCCACTTGTGTTGTCATCAAAGTCACTTAATCGCCATTGTAGACCAATTATAGTAGACAATGAGTGCATCTACTAGCAAATGAACACCAAAAGAAGTCCATATAAAGTTCAATTAATTTTAATTTAGGCACTCTAAGATAGATAATTATTCTAGAAAAAATATAAAACTATTTTCATACTTTTTTGAGCTAAATCAAAATTTCTATGATTTCTTAAGATTAAACCAGAGTGCCAAAACACTTATAAAAATACTCAAAGTGCAAAAGCAAATGGTTTTAAAAGTTTAAGGTGGTCAGAAAAAACTAGTTTTGTAGATGAGAAAAAAAAATTGGACCACTAAGAAAGGTGAAGCAGAGGATGGGTAGCCCTCGGAGGGTCGACTTTCTCCACCAATCAATTGCAGATTTGCAGCTTCACGGACGAGCTGGTGCGTTTAGGACAGCCCACGAAACTTTTTTTTTGAAACAGACAGCCCACGAAACTTCAGTAGACCGATTGGGATTCATGGGCTGCAGGACTGTCCAAGATCGGCCCAAAACCAATCGTGCGGCTGTGCGCCACTATCCGACCCGAGGCCCGACCCTGGCGCGCGCGAGGCGGTCCGCAGACCGCAGCGGCCAAGCCGGCGGCGCTGCCCCGCCGTCGACGGTGGAAGCGGAACCAGTCACGTCGGGTTTAGAAGCCGCTTACCGCCACGCCGGACACCCCACCCTCCCCCTACTGCGCCTCCCGGCTCCTGCTTACCCACGCGCTGCGCGCCGTCCCGGCTCCGCTCCGCCTCCGCCACCCGAAAATAGGCGGAGCCGGGAGACCGGAGGTTGACGGAAGGGAGATAGTGGGCCGCATCGGCACACGCGGCAGAGTCCTCCGCGCCTCCCGCGCGCCCCATTCCCTCCCGACCTCACCTGCCTCCCTCCCTCGCCCCCGCGTCCATGGCAGCATCCTTATATCCCTCGCGCGGCCGTCACCGCCGCTTCGTTTCCACCCCTCCCCCATGTTCCCCCGCGAGCCCAATGCCGCGCCAGACCCATGTAACGATCGACACTCCCTGATTACCATTTCTTGTTCATCACTGCTTCGTGGAGGTTAATCTGTCGACTGATCGGTTACTTGATGGTGACGATTGCTGCGCGCAGCGAGGCGGCGGGTGGACGCCGTCGGGTGGCTGCGCTCCCTGTTCCCGGACCTGCCGCTGCCGCCGGAGGCCACCGATGAAGACCTGCGCGCCGTGGTCGGCAATGGTAGGCTGCTCTGCGCGCTCCTGCGGAGGCTCTTGCCCGGCGCGCTGCTGGACGACGCGGCCACGGACAATGTCGGCAGGTTCCGCGCCGCCATCCAGCGGATGGGCGTGCCCACCTTCAGCGCCTATGACCTCGAGAGGGTTAGTCGCCTTCTCGTTCCTCGTCCGTGCCACGGCGCCACGGCATTCCATCGAATCTTTGTCACATGTACGGCGAACGTTAGACACACGTACAAAGTATTAAATATAAACTAATTACGAAACTACGAGATAAATCTTTTGAGCCTAACTGGTCCATGATTTGACAATGTTTTGCTACCGTAAACATGTGCTAATAACGGATTAATTAGGCTTAAAAAATTCGTCTCGTGGAGTATTGATGGATTATGTAATTTGTTTTTTTATTAGTATCCGAACACCTTATACAACGTTCTCGATATACAACGCTCTCGACACATCTCTTAAATTTTAGTAGCCGGATCAAACACCACCTATATTCTTTTCCTTCTTCATTGACGTTGCCTGCAATTCATCCATCGTCCGTCCGTCCGTCCAGGGGGAAATGTCAGCTGTCATTATCTGCATTCTTGCTCTAAAGGATCGGTTCCCATCACGCCTCGGCGAAGACCACGGCAGCTCTCCCTTCCTCACCAGATGTGACAGCGAAGGAAGCAGGAGGAACATGGGAGGCAAGCTGCAAAGGGTACTCACAAGCCCCATTATGTCAGGTAAACATTGCCTTGTTTCGATAATGTTAAGGAAATGATAACTGCTCATTTACAGAGTAGCTTCAGATTGCTGGTTCAAACATTTCTTTTTGTCATGCTTGTTTCCAGAGCCATACTCTCCTTCCTTTGGAGCCGATGCCTATTCTCCATCACAGGTATTTCAGCCGAAACATGGATATTCTGATCCACCTGGCTGTAAACTTTCTGAATTGATGAAATCCTCGAGCTTGGAGGTAAGAGCCGTGCTGCGATCTTCATTCAAACAATAGACAGGGTTTATTTCATCCTCTGGCACCGACTTCACATGCTAATAACATTGACTGCGTTACTTATTTGTGCAGAACGCTCCCACCCAGTCACTTTTGGGTGTTGTGGACAGCATCCTCGATGAGAGCATCGAGAAGAAGAATGGACAAATACCTTATGTAGGCTTCTCAAAAAATCAATGTAGTCATTTTGTTCTTTCCACATTTAAGAAAATTAAGAGCTGTATGTGTTAACACCTTTCCTTGTATAAATGAATGTTCAAACTTTCACTGTAGCGCATTGCTTGCCTGCTGAGAAAGGTCATAGTGGAGATTGAAAGGCGTATTTCTACTCAGGCCGGGCATATACGAAATGTGAGACCAATTACTATTTGGCTTCGTTTTGCCACTATTTTTCTTTTTTCCTTTGTGATTTCTTACTTGTCTGCAGCAAAATAACCTGATTAAAGCTCGTGAAGAGAAGTATCAGTCAAGGATAAGAGTGCTAGAAGCACTGGCTGGTGGGGCAAGTGGACAAACACATGTAAATTCTTGTACCTTCAGTGAACCAACTATCTATATGCTGTTTTTCCCAGAATTTTTTGCACCGTCTGCACTTTGTGAGTATTTTTTCCCATGATCCTGGCATGACCGTCAAATGGTTAAATAATTGGGTAATTCATCTGTTTATCTTTGTTGCAGCTTAAAAATAGTAGCTGAGATGACTAAATTTTCTCTTAAAATAATGGCAATCCATTCATTTGAATATTTGCGGCTTGAGAACCAATTGAGTGATTCAATTCATGGAAGTTCACTTTAATTATGCAGGTGGAGAAAGACAAACTTGAAGGCAAGGGCCAACTAGCAGAGGATGATATGGCTAGATTAATGCAGTATGAGGAAGACTTGGTAAGATTGATGAAAGAAAAGGAAGACATGGTTAGTTTGCTTAAAGAAAAGGAAGATATGATCAGGTTACTGAAGGAGAAGGAAGATATTGTTAGATTGTTGAAGGTGAAGGAAGATATGGGCGACTTGAATAATGATAAAGTAGATAGGTTACTTAAAGAGAGGGATGATACTATAGTTAGGTTGACACAAGAGAAGGAAGATATGATTCGGATGTTAAAGGAGAAGGAGGATATAATTAGGCTAATGAAGGATAAGGAAGACATGGTTGATATGAAAGATGTCACATTCGAAGATACACAGCGTACAACAGATGAGAATAAAGACAGGTTACTTAAGGAGAAGGATGATGTTGTAGCCCGACTGACAAAAGAGAAGGATGAAATTGTTGACCAACTGACAAAAGAGAAGGAAGACATGATTAGGTTGCTAAAGGAGAAGGAAGATATAATTAAACTAATGAAGGAGAAGGAAGATAGGCTCAACTTAGCCAGTGGCAAGGTTGAGGATAGGAAGCAAGCAATACATGACGACAGAGATAGGTTGATCAAGGAGAACAATGATGCCATTTCCAAGTTAACATCTGAGAAGGCAGAGATTGCTAAGTTGCTGCAAGAGAAGGAAAATCTAATCAGATTGATGAAGGAGAAGGAAGATAAATCTGATTTGAAGAAAGGTAATGTTGAAGACTCAAAACAATCAACAGGTGAAGAGGCAGACAGGTCGATAAAGGAAAAGGGTGAGATAATTAGGTTGACAAAAGAGAAGGAGGATTATAGAAATACTATTATGAAACTTAAGCAGGAATTCGAATCATTAAGATCATCATATGAGGAGAGCTGCAAGTTGTTAGAATCTAAGAAGGAAGATGTAGTTAAACTTGTCACAGACAAGGAAATGAATGACAACATAATTTTGCAACTCAGGCAAGAACTTGAGGAAACAAAAAAGTTGCATGAGGCAGAGACAAAAGAGGAGGATTATAGAAATACTATTATGAAACTTAAGCAGGAATTCAAATCATTAAGATCATCATATGAGGAGAGCTGCAAGTTGTTAGAATCTAAGAAGGAAGATGTAGTTAAACTTGTCACAGACAAAGAAATGACTGAGAACATAATTTTGCAACTCAGGCAAGAACTTGAGGGAACAAAAAAGTTGCATGAGGCACAGACAAAAGAGAAGGAGGATTATAGAGATACTATTATGAAACTTAAGCAGGAATTCGAATCATTAAGATCATCATATGAGGAGAGCAGCAAGTTGTTAGAATCTAAGAAGGAAGATGTAGTTAAACTTGTCACGGACAAGGAAATGAATGACAACATAATTTTGCAACTCAGGCAAGAACTTGAGGCAACAAAAAAGGTGCATGAGGCAGAGACTCAACAATTAGAGACCAAAGCTGCCAAAGTAAATAAGGAGTTCGAACAGAGGATAAAAGAAATAGAACTCATGTTAGAAGATTCTACCAAGAGGAGAAGAGAACTTGAGGAATCTACTGAATCTAAAATCCAATTTTTGAAGCAGAAGGAAATAGTGGTAAACAAATTTGTGGGTTTGCAAGTAAAGAATGCTCAGGTATTGGTCAAACCACTCCCTCGCCCCACCCTTCTTTTTTATCCCTACGGTGAATATTTGTGAACTCAAGTGTATAACGCTCTTTTTCTTCAGGAATTGAGGCTCTCTTCTGTTTCCGTTAGGCTTGAAATACTAAATTGTCAAAAAAGATGGTTTGAAGAACTTGCTGGCCTCGGTGAGCATGAATCCTTGTGACTAGTTATGGCCTACATTTGCATAATGTTATTTTCACCAATAGGTCATTCTAAAATTTCTATTTAATTTTCTACAGGACAAAATCTTAAGATGGTAACAAGTGCTGCAGAAAAATATCATGCAACTCTTGCAGATAATAGAAAATTATTCAACGAGATCCAGGAACTGAAAGGTGCCTATTTGAACTGTAAACATCAGTTCCTTTTGTCTGGTTTATCTATGTCAAACATAAGACTGCAACCCCCAAAATAGTAGCTTAATGTAGTATTGTTGAGCAGGAAATATCAGAGTTTATTGCCGGATAAGACCTTTTCGACCCTGGGAGGATGAGAAGTCCACTTCAGTTGAATATATTGGTGAGAATGGTGAACTGGTTTTATCAAACCCTACAAAGAAGGGAAAGGAAGCTGGCAAGAATTTCACTTTTAACAAAGTTTTTGGCCCTACAACTACACAAGGTGCTCATGACAATGAAACAAAAAATATATCTTTTGCTGAATCTATTTAATTGTTATAAGTACTCATAAAATAGCACTGAGTTATACATTTGTTGTGATATCTTTCTTTCCTTTTTTGTTATATAGATATGGTTTTCAAGGATATTCAACCATTAATTAGATCAGTTCTTGATGGCTACAATGTTTGCATTTTCGCATATGGTCAAACTGGATCGGGGAAAACACATACAATGGTATGAAGCCATCAGGACTGAATTTTTTTTATCTGTTTAGATTCCTCTACAATGGAGGATATATTCACAATACTTTGTTTCAATGAGTTGCTCAGATGGGACCTGAAAACGCAACTGAGAAAGAATGGGGTGTCAATTATCGAGCACTAAATGACCTTTTCAATATCTCACATGATCGGCGAGACACAATTAAATATGAACTTGGTGTTCAAATGGTTGAGATCTACAACGAGCAAATCCGTGATCTACTTGGTACCGGTGGCTCGCAGAAGAAATATCCTTCTTATTCAAGGCTTGTTTCAGTACATGTTTTTTGTTATGAACTGCTATTAGCCCACTTTTGCTATGCATTATAGTTTTATTTTTTCTTGAATATGAAGGAAAGGTATGTATTCATTGCATTAATGAAATAAGAGAATTACTAACACCCCACCACCCCCATCCCCAGGACAATTACATTTGCGTCTGTTAAAAGGAGGAAGACAACGACCCAACCTACAAACTTAACTACCTGTGGTAGAGGTGGTAAGGAAGGAGAGCCCCTTAGCTCATGCCATAACCCAAAGCTGTGATTCCTCTCATGGAGAGATAAGACCTTAGATAGGCTCGGAGTAGCACCATTAAACAGAGTCATTTCTGTATTTCCACAAACTCCATGCACCTGATATGACGAGCGAGTTCAGGTGCTGTTGGATGGGACCACCCACAGCAGAACAAGCTCTACACCACCTAGTCATCAAAAGAGTTCTCCAAGGGTTGAGGGGAGAGGACAGCAAGCCTGACTCTTTGCAAGAGAAAATACTAGAATTGACGGGCAAAAAACGCATGGCAACTATTGGGTGTTGGATAGTCTCTGACTGTTGATCACAAAATTGGCAGGTCCCAAGATGTGGAAGACCTCTCTGTGCCAAGCGGTTGGCTGTCCAGAAGCAATTATGAGCCACCAGCCAGAGTAAGAAACGAAGGGCGGGCCTGGTGCAAGCTGTAGAGTTTTACCGCCTATGACCGGAAGGTCCCGGGTTCGAGTCGCGGTCTCCTCGCATTGCACAGGCGAGAGTAAGGCTTGCCACTAACACCCTTCCCCAAACCCCGCACAGAGCGGGAGCTCTCTGCACTGGGTACGCCCAGCCAGAGTAAGAAACGGCATTTTCTGGGTGACCAAGATTTCCAGATGCACTCCCAAGGACTAACAGCACCTTGAAATAAAGCATTGTAAACCTACTTAGCTGAGTATTGGCCTGAGCTTGAGAGCGCCATATATGCTTATCTGGAACACCCAATTGCAGCTGCACTTAAGCAAGTAAATCGCAGAGAGCAAGATTATCGGCAATAGCACCAATTGATAACGCACCCTGGATATCAAGGACCCATGGCTGGTTTGTGATATCTTATAATACTGTTCTCTTAGTGGCACTTCTTTTAGGCACGAGAGCATATAAGCTCTAAATCCTCAATTGCTGCCCAAACAACAATCTATCTTTCCAGAATAACATGGTGCCATCATCACCAACCTCTGCAACCACTGCTAGAAGGAAGAGAGATTGAATGCAGCCACTTATCTGAATTGAGAACATCAACCATGGCTTGTTTGGGTCAGTCTTTGCAGCCACAACCATTTCACTTGTAATGCACATCCAAGACATTTGTCAGAAATACCAAGCCCGCCAAGCTCCCCTGAGCGAGTTAGTGGCTCACCTTGGGCCAGTCTATTAGGCAGTGACTTCCATTGGCTAACTTCCTCCCTCACCAAAGGAAACTTCTGATTTTATCAATAGCCTTAATAACCCAAGGAGGAAGATCAATTGCCATTGCTAAGTAAACAAGCTGAGTGGTCATAACGTACTGAAGCTTAACAGCCCGACCAGCTCTTGTCATGAGGTCTGCCCTCCACCCTGGGGGTTGATCAGCTATACAATCAATGATGGGTTGAAACTGGGACTTGGTTAGCTTCTTCAGGGAGAGTGGCAAGCCTAGGTACTTGCAAGGGAAATCCATCACCCCACAAGGAAGTAACTCCTGTACTCTTGCATTGTCATCACAAGAATACTGGATAGGCAGCACATTGCTTTTTTTTTTGTATATTTATTTTAAGGCTCAAAGCTTGATCGTTTCTGAAAAATGCCCAAAGCTTCCCCAAAAGGATGTAGAATACCAAGTGTTAAGTTTATATCTGTTGCAGTTGGTTGAAGGAAGATGACTGTGTCATCAGCATACAAAGACAGCCGCTGTCTGATAGGCTGACAAGAGTGGGGTTGGAGCAGCCCACCCTCTTGAGCCCTCACCACCATCATGTTATAAAGTATCCGTGATCAGTAGAAACAGCATTTGAGAGAGAGGATCTCCTTGTCATAGTCCCCACAGGCGATAGATGAATTTCCTCGGTATCCCATTTAGGAGCACTTGGGTGGAGGAAAACTCCAGTCAACCACTCAATATATCATGCCAAAAAACTGAGTTTCTCTAAAACCTCAACGAGTTAAGTGATACCATATTAAAACTTTCAAATTTCAGTTGGTTACACATTGCTATCCTTTTTCAGATTCTACTGCCATCATACTGCTTGTAGGAATCCATTGCTTTTTGCTGACTGAAGTGATGTTACAAACCACTCGTTTTCCTTAACTTGCGCACACTAGGGATCCAGAATACCACCCAGCCCAATGGACTTGCAGTTCCTGACGCAACAATGTGTCCTGTTGATTCGACTTCTCATGTTATTGAACTAATGCAAACAGGGCACAACAATAGATCCATGAGTGCAACAGCCTTGAACGAGAGGAGCAGCAGATCTCACAGGTAAGTTACTTGTGCTGCTTGTCTTTTGTATAAAGAGACCTTGCTTGTGGGCAATTAATTAATTAATTTATTTATTTTGTCCAGTGTTGTGACCATCCATGTCCAGGGCCAGGATTTGAAAACCGGTAACACTTTGCGTGGTGCTCTGCATCTTGTTGACCTTGCAGGAAGTGAAAGGGTGGACCGATCTGCAGTTACAGGAGACAGGCTCAAAGAAGCACAGCACATCAACAAGTCTTTGGCTGCACTCGGGGATGTTATATTTTCTTTGTCACAAAAGAATGCTCATGTACCATACAGAAATAGCAAGCTTACACAAGTCTTACAAACTTCTTTGGGTGATCTTCTTTGCTAGAAATTTAGTTTGCATTACATCATAATTTTGTATATGGTTTCTTGATACGCAAAAGTTTTCTTGTGTAGGTGGGCATGCAAAGACTCTAATGTTTGTGCAAGTCAACCCAGATGTTTCGTCATACACTGAGACTTTAAGTACACTGAAATTTGCTGAACGTGTGTCTGGTGTAGAACTAGGTGTTGCAAGGACCAACAAGGAGGGCAAAGATGTCAAAGAATTAATGGATCAGGTAATCATTTATTTTTCTTTTCCTTCACTTACATCCATGCTAGGGCGATTGATATGAAACAGTAGATGCAATATGTCAAGGTCATGACTTGACTTTTAGACATGCAAAGAAATCAAGAATGTCATGTTCAAAATATGTCATCTAGGTGGTTGAATTTGATCCAGAAGGAAACATACAGTTGAAGGGCAGGCCTGGTGCAGTGGTGAGAGCTGTCTCACTGAGTCACCAGGTCGTGGGTTCAAGCAGCCTCTCCACAGATTTGCGGGGGGAAGGCTTGCCTCGGTTTTTCCCTTCCCCAGACCCCGCTCATGTGGGAGCCTCCGACACTGGGTCTGCCCTTTTTTAAGGAAACATACAGTTGTTGACATCTAACTTTTCACCTGTAGCTTTCACTGCTCAAAGATACCATTGCAAAGAAGGATGATGAAATTGATCGGCTGCAACTAGCCAACAGTAGCAACTCCCTACTGAAGTCCACGAAACATGGTGACTCCCTGTTAAAGCATTCGGCCTCTTCTCCAGGAATGACATCCCTAGGAAAGGTGGCAAGCTTTGGTAGCGGGGCAGCTTCTGATCTTGACAACTTCTCTGACACCAGTGATAGGCATTCCGAAGCTGGGTCCATGTTCTCTACTGATGAGGCCCGACAGCTGGGCCAGAACTTTGCTGATCCTGGTGGTGATTCAGATGGAAGGCTAAGTGATGTATCAGATGGCGGTAGACCCGCGGGTGCAGAAACTGACAGTTCAGTTAACAACGTTGTGGACCAAGAACAAGAGAAAACATCCACTGCTGGAAAAGAGCGGTTGTGAGTATTACCAGTTCTCCATAATCTTAGATCTAATAATATTTTCGCTCATTTGTCATTTAGCTCTTGCAAATTCTGCAGAATGGTTTCTGGCCTTGGCTGTTGTCTGTAACTTCTTCGTTCTTTCTCATGCAGAGCCAAAGCAGTAAGTCGAGTCCAGAAGCTAACAGTACCAAAAGTTGGCCAAGCATCAAGCTTACGGCCTAAACCAAGAGATCCTTCTGCTCCTAAACCTTCAGGTAAGATACCTCTAAGCTTGCACTTCTGTTACAACTTAATTTCATGGGAATGCTAATCTTGAGGAGCTGATGTTTGTTGTAAATGGATCTGAGTCTGACTCAGTAGTTTTAGAGATGATGCCCTGTTCGCTTCTCTTATAATCTGTCTTTTTCAGCTTGTTTTTTCAGCCAGAACAATGTTTTTCTCCCACAACAAATCAGCTGGAACAGTGTTTCGGCTTGTTTTTTCAGCGAAGCGAACGGGGCCTTAACTTGATATGAATAGGAGAACACTCATAGAATGTACCAAACAGATGTCTATGTCAACATTTGTTTGTACATGGATTTGCCTCTAGTCTGTGCTTGCATTGCCAAACATTATGATCATCTTAACAAGGTTTTTTAGAACAAATTATCTTGACTAATTGAATTAAGCTATTCATACTAAAATGGAATAAAGCAGGCCATGAAAGAATGATATCCATATGGCAGTGCAACTTACCAACTCTTGATGCAAGCAATCTAATATAGTACTGTGATACAATTTTATCGAAGCTCTTCAGTTCAAAAATAAAGAAATAATATTGGAAGTCTTAAAGTTTCTTGTAGACATGTGACTCTTCAACAGCTCACAAAAACCTTGACAAAGAACGATGGTCATGGCATTTTTACTATTACTCCCTGGGGCTATTCAATTCCCTTTATTTTCTGTGCAGTTTAATTTTTCCAGAGTGCATGTTGCATGTTGTCTCATGCACATACCGTTTTGTTAGTTTTACATCATATTTTCCATAATTGCAGTCACAACAGGTACGCGTAAAAGTACTACCACTCAAGCAACTCCACCAGCAAGAGCTAGCAGCACTTCAAAACGAGTACCATAGATCGAGATAATCGTTTGGCGTAGCCACTTCCCAGTCATTTTTCTTTTTCTATAGCTTTTTCAGAAAGGCATATCCTCTTGCCACGATGTATGTAACCGTGAGCATCTCAGGTTGATATGTTCTTTTCTTTTCATGTTTGCAATGAGGGTGTTGACTGCATCAGTATGTGATGTTAGCATGTTATGAGATACCATTGTTCAATGTGTTAGTACAAACAGTGAAGGAATTCGGATTGATCAAATTCAAGTCCTTACTGTTTTTCACAATCTATTCATGTTGATATTGTGGCGTTCAGCAGTTCCTGTAATTTCAAAGCAATGCAACAATGCAGAGCCGTTTTGTAAAAAAAAAAAAATGCAGAGCTGTTCACCCTAAGCAAACAGTTATTTTCTAAGATTCAAACTAGATGATACCTGTTTTGTTCTTCACAGGTACAACAGTTTTCCTCTGTACTCAACTGGTGATTGGATCCTCAACTTAATCCATAAAATTTAGTGTGTTGCAGTTTGATGATTTCACTGTTTTTTCCCCATCTAATGACAGGGGCCTAAGTTGCTCCTGTGCCTCTCCCATGGACAAGCAGGACTTAAGAGACACCACGGGATGTTATGATCATCTAGTAATCTAGATTAATTTAAAGAGCTCATACCAACGGTCCGAGATTGAATATTGCAGGTGGTGCGTCATGGCAAATTTGTGGTCCATGCTTAGGTTTTTGGACCTAGGTCTGTGTGGGAAAAAATGCAGCTTGGTTCACGAATTTTTTTTTTAATTTAAACCGTTGGGCTACAAACAACGAACTGAAGGAAGAGTTTTAGTCGAAAGAAAGTTTAAATTATGGGTTTAATTCTACAATTTTCATAGCACTTTTTAAAATATATGCAAATAAATATTATTGCCTAACAATAATGTGTAATTTTCACAATTAAGTTTTAGGCCATGTTTATTGGGGTTAAGCATGCTAGGGTTTTTCTTCCATTGCGACATTCGCTAGTCAGTATTAAGGTATTGAAATGATACGTGACATACGGATCAGATAGAGAAGATGGTGCATTGCAGCCTGGGTGTGGCAACCCGCTTTGTTAAATTCATCTAATTACATGAGTACAAATTGTTGGGATAAAAGGATAGAAACAATGTACAATTAATTTCTCATCATGTGATGAATCATGATGAGAACATCTACCATCAGATCAGTATCAGAATTAACAATTACATGCATAACAGGCACGATAATTTACCCTTAAGACGAGGAGTAAAAATCATGGGACCAACCAATCCACCCCAAGCTTCTACTATAATTAACAATGGGTACAAAGAGTCTTCTCTAAAGCATCTAGAGGATTACACCCACAGCAATACATTCGTCAAGTTACAAACTTGGCATCAACTATAACCACAACCTTCTAACAAGAGGAATAACAACAACTAAACGGAGAAGTCGTAGATTTTGTCCTCCTCGGCAATCAGTTCACATCTCACAAATTACAGCTTCACCGTGAACGAATTTTGGTAGGCATGTAGATCCACGAGTCCCCTAAGGTCCTGACCACTTAGTAAGTTTCTGCTCAATCGGACACCATTTCACCACAAAAAAGAATCATATACCAGAACTACTCTGTCCTGAAACTGTAGTAACCTAAACTAACAAAACCCCTTTCAAATCTGGTGCTCTACTCAACCAATCCTCAAACCAATTAAATAGATCAAAGTACTCTAACTAAGGAACGAGCTCACAAAGTTTGGTGCCAGTTCAACCACGTTTGAGCCTCCAATCACTGGCTTGAAGATGACCGGCTTAGAGCCACTAAACCTAGACAGACATCTCCTTCTTCTTCCTCTCTTCTCTCATGTTGTGGTGTTCTTTTGTTCCGCTCTCTCCTCCCCCCTCTCTCTTTCAACAACAGCAGTTGAAGCAATGGAGGCTAGGGTTTATTTTTTTTATTCCTTCCAAGAATCAATGCCCACCGTTTATTCCAACCGAAATCAACGACTCACAAGAGCTGGGCTCGTGAGCTACATTTGGGCTGCATTGCTGGGCTCAAAATCATCCTTCATGTGGAGGAACACCCCAACACAAATAAGCAATAAAAGGGGTCATGATAACTTCATAGATATATACAAATGTATTGAATGGATATTCATGCACTTAAAGGCTAGAATCACTCAAGGTGCATCCATCCAACCCCGGTTGAGCTGCGTGACAAGCTTCCCTATTAGGGCTTGTTCGGTTAATCCTCAATCCAAAGGGATTGGAGGAAATTGAGGAGGATTTTATCCCCTACGAGTTAAAATCCTCCTCAATTTTTGGTTTCGCAAATGTCCACCAGGCAATAAATTCTGGTCACCAGACACTCAAAATCAAAATAGCCACCAGGTAATAAATCCTAGCTACCAGACACTCAAAATCAATGGACTGAGCCTTTTTGGTGCTTTTGTAGTGGCATTTTGTTATTAAGGAGATATAAACTGGTATACAGTCACTTAAGCTTAATATTTCATATGATATAACAGGAATTCAACTTCTAGCAAATGTGTCCAAGGCAACTCCTTCATATGAAGAGAGTTTACAATATGAGCCTGCAATTGATTCTCTGAATGAGAACCGAGGAGTGTGGTAATATCAGAGTAGTGAAAAAGCTTGCAAAGGCGATATGAGAAACGGTATTTTCTTTATTTGAGATTTGAATATTATACCACCGGATCAGATCATTATCTTTGTTCTAAACATCTCTACTAACAAGAAGTGCTGAATAGCTTGACTAATACAGTACTAATAGGTAACAACATATATGGTAAATAGCATTGACAACTTAACAACTGCTCTTTGCCATTGAGGGAATCTTGCTGTTGCTTGCGGAGCATGAGCAGATGTCTGTTTCCTTACCATTTATACAAATCGAAAGAGCTTCTTGGTGAGATCCCTTCAAGTTTATAATTCACAGTGCAAAAGTTGCAGGCAAAGGTACCAAAGGAATTAGGCTTTTGCAGCCGCTTGCTTCGCACCAACTGCAAAGAACTCAGTGATGACTTCAAGGGGCATTCCCTTTGTCTCAGGAACCTTAAGGAAGACAAACACAAAGGCAATCAAGCATACGACTGCATATATGCCAAAAACACCTGCTAGTCCAATAGCATTCAGCATCACAGGAAGGCTGTAGGTGACAATGATGTCTCCGATCCAAAATGTCAAGGCACAGATGGCAATGCAGAGACCACGAACCCTAGTTGGAAAGATCTCTGCACATAGAATGTTGGGGATGGGACCAAATCCCATGACAAAGCAGCAGAAGTAGATGATGACACTGACTGTGGAGAGCGCAGCATGGGCCACTGTACCCAAGTCAATAACATTGGACACGACCAGGATAACTAAAGATGCTATCAAGATTGGAATTGTGCCTAGCAGCAAAAACCTGCAGAAAACGGTGTTAATATAGTATATAAGGATCCTTTGTGCACATTTATAAATTTCTGTTAAGTGGTAATACTAATATGATGTAAACAAAAAGAAATAAATTACCTTCTTCCAGAAAGATCCATAAGTCTCATGGCTAAGCCAATGCTAGGAAGCATCAGTAAGGTAGTGAGAGAACTGATCAAGATGGATGCTGATGCCGAGCTGAGACCAAGATTGGAAAGAAGAACTGCCACGCCAGCTTGCTCGAGAATTTGTGGGGTATAGTACAGAACACCATTTATTCCAGCAAACTGAATGTGAGAAATAAAATAACTCAAGTTAGTGGAGTACTTTTAGGATACAAGTTAATAATCATACTTATTAATCTAAAACTTCAGAACTGCTAATTTAAAATGAATTGTATGATGATCTCTCTTCAAGAAGAATTCTAATTGAATTAGTTACTTGGATATTAATTACTTCATTTATTGTGTGCATAGCCACAAGAAACAAACTTCTACATGGTTAACTGATTAAATTAGCTCTACCTGTTGAAGGATCTGAATTCCAACACCGACTAACAGGGCACGCCTCACACCAGGTTCAAACAAATCTTTCCAACTTGAACCTTTGGCGGCTACCTCGGATGGGTGAACCATGGCAGCACCAGACATGCGTGGTTTGGTAAGATCCTTCGAGAAAAGTGCTGACTGGCTTACTAAAGCAGCAGCATGTACAAACTCGCCACCCTCAGGAACATCGCCACCACCAGGAAGTGAAAGAATTGAGCCCATTCTTGAGCCAGGAACTCCCTCTTGGTGTAAGTAGACTCTTTTGAAACCACCTTGCTTCTTACCATCCTCACCTTCCTTCTCTGACCATTTCCATGCAAGCTGCCACCCCCCACCAATATCAGTGCTGCTCACACCCTCTCCAGCCTCCCCCAAGAGGCTTTGCCTTCTCATGCTCAAAGCACTTCCACGGTGACCATGGTGCACAATGTCCTTCCCTTCCGCACTTGTTGTCTGCCTGGACAGCAATGGGCTGTGCAGATTGTCCTCATAATCACCTCCTGCACCATCAGATGCATACTCCTCATCATCCCTGTGAAGATTCTCTTCGTCCCACTGCTCATTTTTGGCATGCTGATCTGTGACGCTGAACATACTTCCAAAGTTTGGAAACAATGTGCTCCTCATACTTCCTCCAGCTTGAGGCATATTCTCATGGACACTCCCAAAAAGTGTCACAATTGGATCCATAAGGGGTACACTCTGGTTCACCATGCTGCCATGACGAGATGCGAGAGAAAGCACACTTCCAAGCATGCTGGGTCCCTTGGAAGGTCGAGCAATCCATGACTGGCCTTCTTCAGGCCCATAAAGTGTGATTTGTTCCTTATCACCATCAGTAACATGATCATCGGCTGCCTCAGTGGCAGGGCCAATGATGTACTCTTCAATCGAAGTGTCTCCTCCAACCTCCAACCCTTCGACAAGAAGGGACAATTCACCTGCGAATTGCATACTTGGAATTATCACATGGCCTTTTTGCATATGTCATTGTTAAATAAATAAATTTCAAATCAGAAACTAAAATATGTGCTGGATAAAATAGCTAAGTGTCAAGTTTGAAGCTAACGCTTTAATTAGTAACAAATATATATGAAATACCAACGAGCTATAGCAAAACAACTTCCTTTATATGAAATACCAACGAGTTATAGCAAAACAACTTCCTTGATGCCTACAATTCAGTATTACTAGAGGGAGCAACAATTAGGCTCTAGTCAGCTAGAACAAAATACTCCAAGTAAAATGCGCATCAAATTTTTTGTAAAACAGACCTGAGACATCTTCTTTGCTGCGTAATTTTTGCAACACCTTCTTTGCCTCTGCCATCCGCCCTTTGCTAACAAGCCATCTTGGGGATTCAGGAAGATAAAATATTGTCAATCCAAAGAAGAACAATGAAGGTATCGCGAGCACCCCAAGCATAATTCTCCAATCAGGTGATGGCAACAGTGACATCCCAAACACCATGCAGTATGACAAGAACATTCCTCCTGATCCACTGAACTGCGGTAGCGTATTCAGCAAACCTCTAATCTCTGGAGGGGCTGTTTCTGAAATGTACAAAGGCACAAGCGTGACAGCCAAGCCAATACCGAATCCGTCTACGAGGCGTGCCAGCAGCAGGACATAGACATTAGGGGACCATAGCATGATGAGGCTGCTGAGGAAGTACAGAACTGAAGAGAGGATAAGCATAGGGCGCCGGCCGATCCAGTCTGATACCGGCCCAGAGAATGTAGTGATGATGGTGGCGCCAATAAGTGACATGGCCACAATTAGCCCCTCCACAGTGGGCTCACTTTGTAATTGGAATTCCTTCTTTATGTACAGAACAGCACCTGGAGGAAACAATTATGTTGTTAATAATCTTTAATCTTAAAACAAAATGACCCCACCGATATTTTCAGGACAAAACATAGCAAAAGGTAATAGTTCGACACCACATAACTGTAATGGAATCATTACAGTCCTGGGAATATATTTCTTTTCTTAATTGACAGCGTCAGTGCCAAGTTACTCTGATATTTTCTTTGCGAGGAAGTTAGTCTGATAAATGATAAATTGAAAATCAAACAACAACCAACTGAACTTCTCAGGTACTTCAATGAGAAATTGAGAACACTACACACGATCTGATAACTACCCAGCAATTACTACTGAGCGTGAGCAGCATCTGATCCGAGTGTCCAAGGATTTGATCTGATGGAACTAGAAAACTGACTCGACGAGAGTGAGAAACATCCCAGTAAAACCGATCTGCCGAGATTTACCTGCGATGGTGGCATTGTCCCACCCCTGCAACAGATTGCCGATCGAGGCGGCGATGGCGACAAGAACAGCCCCCGACATCTTGCCCTCCAAACAAAGGCACGCAACAGCACGTCCGAGGTCACCGGCTCCTGCAACCGCGAGACCCAGTTCGAAACGGAACACACGGGAGATAACGCAGTTGTTGCAGAACTTGAGTGTCTTACCTTACCTCCGAAGAAGACGAAGCAGCCCAAGAACAGCTGATGGAAGGAGTTGCTCCCTCCGGTCCAGATCAGAGACGACGAGGGGCGTCTCGACTGCAAGCCAAGAGCCGCTCTCCCAATCTACCCGTGCCCCTGCCCCTGCCGCTGGGCGCTGACAACAGAATAGTTGTAGAAGAAGGAAGCGGGCGACCAGGGTCCCTGCAAGTGAGGACAAAGGGGCTCAGTGGGAGGCGAAGCAAGTGCCCAGATGCCACATGGAGCTGAGATGACACGAGAGCGACGCCGCAGCAGGGCCTTGTTTAGATACCCTCAAAATTCTAAATTTTTTCACTCTCTCTTCATCACATTAATTTTTAACCGTTTGCATGAAGTATTAAATGTAGGTAAAAAAAATAACTAATTGCACAGTTTAGTTGAAAATCACGAGATGAATCTTTTGAGCTTAGTTGATCCACGATTGGACAATATTTACCAAATAAGACGAAAGTGCCACTATTCATCGGGTTGAAATTTTTTTCAATCTAAACAAGGCCCAGGTAAGAGCCTGTTTCCTTATAAGATTACTGTCATATCAAATATTTAATACATATATAGAGTATTAAATATAGACTAATTATAAAACTAATTATACAACTTGTAACTAATTTGCGAGACGAATCTTTTAAACCTAATTAGTCCATGATTTGACAAAGTGATGCTACGGTAAACATGAGCTAATGATGGATTAATTAGGTTTAAAAAATTCGTCTCTCAAATTAGTCTCTATCTATGTAATTGATTTTATAATTAATCTATATTTAGTGCTCTTATTAGTATCTAAATATTCGATGCGACGTGAATTTTAAAAGCAACTAAAGAACTAAATCTCATCTCAGAAGGGAAAAAAATGCAACAGCGAACTAGGCCTCGCCTCCTTCCCAGCGCGGCCGCGGCAGCAGTGCGCCACCACCATCGTCGCCCGCGGCTGCCAGCGAGGAACAAGGGAAAGAAACAGAAAAGGGGAAGGAAAAAAACGGCCTTTCCGCGTCCGGCGGCGAGATCCCCTCGAGAACGCACCCCAGAGCGAGAGGAGATGCCCAAAGATCCTGTCCCACCTTTCCAGCGAAGGAGCACGGCGCAGCAGCTGCTCGAGCAGGAGCTCTGCACATGCACACACAGGAGGAACCGATCTGTCACGCTGGTGGAGCCTGGGCGTCGTTTAGTTGCCTGAATCGGCACTGTCGAAATTACTATAGTATTTTATTTATATTTGGTAATAATTGTCCAATCGTTAACTAATTAGACTCAAAATATTTCTACTAAACTGTGTAATTAATTTTTGATTTCGTCAATATTTAGTACTCCATATATGTACCGTAAGTTTAATGTGACGGAAAATCTTCTTTTTATATAGTGTCAAAGTTTGGATTTTGGTGAAAACTAAACATGGCCCTGGATAGTAAATCAGTACTAGTTTTTTTATTGCTCTTAGAATATAGTATTCTGACCACTTACACCACACGCACGTACCCCAGTATACAGGCTAAATCTATAATCTATATCTGAAGCTAAAAAAACACGACTGAAATATACGACGGTGGTGGCACGTCCATGCGAGCCAACGCAAATTATAAAGGAAAACACTGTTCTCGACGAGACACCCGGTGCCGATGTTGGGCATTGAATCCGGGCGGGTGGCTGCACACCCGCAGGGCACACCAACTCAGCTAGCACTCAGTTCTCAAATCAGTACTGGTTGTAGTTGTAGCCTTGTAGGGTCGGAGTATGTTTGTAATCTTTATTTGGAATCCCCTGGACTTGGTAGCTGGAGCTTGGCGATAGGTACAGATGGTGCGCGAGGATGTGTCAGTGTAAACGCTTCCCTTCCAGATTGCCGCTGCGTGGCTGGGAAATAGAAATTAGACAAGACGGCCGTCGGATTTTAAAACGGCGCGACGAACATGACAGAAACTCACGGTTATTTTGCTTTTGTTTTGGTCGTCCGTCAAAAAGAATCGTACACCTAGGCCAGGAGCATGCATGACGCCAGCCGATTGTATCGTTATGGCCATGTTCGTTTGTATTTTAATCCGTATTTTTCGGCTTGTCTTTTCAGTTGGAATATTGTTTTTCTCTCACAATAAATCAGCCAGAAGAATATTTCAATTTATTTTTTCAGTGAAGCAAACGGGGTCAATATAGCCGAGTACAGAAAGGACCCCGAGCGGAGTACATGTGGATACGCATAGGACCCTAAAGCCCCTGTTGTGAACAGTAACATATTCCTATTTACTCTCTCCATCAGAAAAAAATAGATATGAATCCGGACAGGCATTCGTTTAGATTCATATCTAGAATTATATTCTTTTTAGGACGAAGGGAGTACATGTGTGAGGGATTGGAGTTGGGGAAGGAGATCGGAAAGAGGATTGGGGAAGAAGAAAGGCGCATCAGGAAGAACAGTGGATACGATGGACGAGTGCTTTAGATTAGGAATAGAGTTTTCTGTTATGACAAATCGTGTCCTCCTCAACTAGCTCACGGCTCTCTTAAAGGTACAGAGGCGCTGCCCCTTTCACGCAGCGCAGGCGTACCATTCAGGCCCATTGCTCGCCGATGTAGCGTGGGTTCTGCTTCTTGGGCCGCCGACTCTTGGGCCGAGCTCCAGATGTCCCCTTCCCTTCATCAGGTGGCGCCTGGTTAGGGAGGCTGCTGACATTCCCCCCCCCTTGAGGCACTGCTTGACCCCAAGCAGTTGCATGGGATGTTCCATTTCACCAGGACTTGTGGAACAGTGGTGGAACCGCGGGCCACCGAGCGGGTCTGAAGAATTTTCTCTGGGGCCAAATGCATAGCAAAGTCAGTAGGAAGGGCCGGTATTACCTGGTGATTAGCACCCACATCTTTCTTAAGTTGAGAAACGTGGAACACCGGATGTATAGATGAATGAGCAGGGAGCTCAAGCTTGTACGCCACGGTGCCGATGCGAGCCAGGATGCGAAATGGCCCAAAAAATCTGAATGCCAGCTTTTGATGTGACTGAGGAGCAAGCGAAGTTTGCACATATGGTTGCACTTTCAAGAATACCAGCTCGTCGACCTCAAAACTGCGTTCAGACCGTTGTTGGTCTGCTTGCTTCTTCATACGGTGATTGGCGCGATGCAGGTGTTGCTGCAACAGTTGATCCATCCATTGGCGGTCCGTTGTCCAAGCAAGTACTTCATGATGAGCTGTGGCAGTAGGATCAACAGCTAGCAGACGCGGGGGATACCCATACAAAGCTTCAAAGGGCGAACAACCAATAGCTGAGTGAGTACAAGTATTGTACCAAAATTCGGCAGAGGAGAGCCACTGACTCCATTTGCTAGGACAGACGTGGACATAGCACCTCAAATAAGTTTCTAGGCATTGGTTTAGACGCCCGGTCTGGCCATCCAACTGAGGGTGATAAGCGAAACTGCGACACAACTTAACATCTGCCAGCTTGAAGAGTTCGGATCAGAAGTGGCTGATGAATATATGGTCTCGGTCAGAAACAATTGAACTGGGGAGGCCATGGAGTCGATAGACAGTGTGGAAGAAGGACTTAGCCACACCCACGGCAGTGAAGGAATGGCGTAGAGGGATAAAGTGGTCGTACTTGGTGAGCAAATTGACAACCACTAAGATGCAGTTCAAGGAGTTGGACATAGGCAGACCCTCTATGAAGTCCATAGAAATCACTTGCCAGGCAGAATCAAGAACAGGAAGCGGCTGCAACATACCTGGAGACCAGGAGCGATCATACTTAGATTGCTGGCAGACAGAGCAGGACTGCACAAACTGTCATACCGCGGACTTCATCCCGCGCCAGGCGAAACACTGTTTCAACCTCATATAAGTTACTGGCACACCAGAGTGACCACCCCAGGAACTGGCATGGAACTCTAAAATAAGGCGATGTTGTAAAGCAGAGTCACTGCCAATCTAAATGCGAGAACGGTAGCGTAGGATGCCGGACTGGAGTGAATAATTCGGCACAACATCAAAGTTAAGAGCCAACTTAGACAACAGATCTTTGGCGAAGGCATCCTTGCTGTAGCTGGTGATGACCGACTGAATCCAATTAGGCACCAAAGTGGTAACAGTGGCACAGACAGCCGAAGTGGGACCAAGACGCGATAAGGCATCAGTTGCTCGGTTATCAGTGCCAGGACGGTAGACAATGCGGTATTGTAAGCCAAGCAATTTAGAGAAGATCCGTTGCTGCCAATGGGTGTGAAGATGTTGATCCGTAAGCTATGTCAAACTCTTTTGATCGGTGAGTATGACAAACTCTTGGAATTGTAAGTATGAGCGCCGATTCTAGACGACAAGAAGTATGGCCATGTATTCCTTCTCGTAAGTGGACAGGCCCCGAGACTTGGGTCCTATAGCTTTACTGAAATAGGCCAAGGGATGGCCATTCTGCATAAGCACCGCGCTAATCCTCGAGTCAGAGGCATCGGTTTCGATGGTGAACGGCTTTGCAAAGTTTGGAAGAGCCAATGCAGGAGACTGACATAAAGCAGACTTGAGGGCTTGGAAGGCTGCCATGTGATCCGATATCCAGATAAACAAGGAATGTTTCTTTAACAGAGTTGTCAGAGGCTTTGAGATGATCCCAAAGTGTCATACAACCCGTCAGTAATATCCGGCGAGCCCTAGGAACGAGCGGAGTTCCTTAACAGAGGTTGGCGTGGGCCACTGAGCAATGGACTATAGCTTGGCAGGGTCTGTTTCCACCCCATCAGAACTAATAATGTGACCGAGGTAAGCAATCTTGGTTTGAGCAAAGGAGCACTTGGACATCTTAAGCTTCCACTGGCCTTGGTTGAGCAACTCAAATACACAACAGAGATGCTGTAAGTGCTCGTC